AAACCTTACCACTGTCCTTATTGACCCGCAGCCTATGTTTCAGGCAACATTTAAGTCATCAAATCCATTTCTCGATTTTTTTTAGACCTGACGTCTTATCCTAGAAAGAACTAAACTTGCTTTGCTGAGGAAATACCCCTGGCAAACCAGCACTGGCTGCTCCGTGCTCCTTGTAACCTTTCAGGCGCTTACAAATCATTTGACTACTTGCTGCAGGATTTTAAGATGACTACTACTCTCCATTCTCTTCTTCCCACTCCTTCACCTACACAAACTGCTTGCTCTTCTCCAGTCTTTCAAAACACCCCTTATTTTCCATTTCTCAAAAGACACCTACTAAAGCTTTTAAGGGTTTGGGGTTTTTTTTAGGCTGTACTTTGAGTGATGAAGATATCTCACTTAGATGACTGCTTGCAAACCTGCTCTTTCTTTCTTCTAGTCTGTCACTAGCAGTAGTTGCTCGCCAGCTGACTTTGGTCTTCAGTAAGAACCGACAGCAAAAGATATTGAACACCTCAGTTCCAGTGACACCGGACAGTAAGTTTTCCTCTCTGTTCTTTCCTCTGTCACCTCCTTTCTATTAAGGCAGTCACAGAATAATTTCTGTATCCCTTGATGGACTCTGCTAGTCGGGTTTGACTTCCATCTTAATTCTTCTTACGTGGTCCTGCCACTCTTCAAATGAAAAACAGAAGCACCTTTGGGTTTGAGTAACGCCCATGTTGCAGGAGTGAGGAAAACAACGTTTGCAATTAGTCCCTTAAGTATAAGAATGTGATTTCTATGCAGCACTGTTTTTTTTTTTTTTTAAACACAAAGTTCATGTAACTGGGAAGTACCTACAGCAGTCGTTTATTACCACAACACACCCACTGGAGATTCACTCTTTCTTCTCAACAGTTCTCCAGCTGCAATTACTCATTTACCTCACCAAATAAGTACCTGAAATGAGCATGAGTTCTTTCCTGATTTTTTTTATCTACAGTTGGGGCTCCTTCCCCCACAAAGGATACATTTCCTGGTTCAAAACTCTCCTTCAGGACAGAAATCAGAATTGATCGTTAATGACCAATATTAAAAAAACAACAAAACCACCCACAACTATTTAATTAAGCCCCTAGGTTCTGCCTGCATGGGCTTCGGTTCTCTCTCTCACATAGATGGTCTTGTCTGTCTATCAGAATACCACCTTTGACTGCAACTATCTTTTAAGAGACTGTGCGACGATAAATGCTTAGCATCCATATTTTATTCAGCAGTTTTACAGGGTAGAGCAAGTTAAATTGGACAACAACATATTTTTAAAGCCCCCATAACAGGCAAATACACTCCTCAGAAGGAAGTGTAGTTCATTGAGCAGCCCACTACACCACTGCTTATGTTTAGGTCACTACTTCGGTCCCAGGTACTACAGACACAGCGGGTTTCTGAAACCCTTCCAGGTAAACCCCAACTACGTAAATACTTTTGGCAGACTTCTGCATTTTCCACACACCACTCCACTTCTCCATACAAAGGGACAGTCCCTCCACCGCACAGAAAACAGTTCTGGCTCTGACTTGAACCCAGGAAGGGCAAAAGAGCTTTTTTAGGCATTTTCCTCCTCCTGAAATTTGCACCGGCGGCACAGAAGTTTCAAGCACCATTTGCATCACCGACATTTTCATCGCTGCTCCCGCAATCCTTTGAGTTTAGTTTAACAGCTAGCTTTGATGGTCTCTATTTTTCTCGTTTACCACAGCTTATATTGGCTCATTTACCTCCAAGAAGAAAATCCCCCCCCCCGACCCCTCAGAAATAGCTTTTGAATAACCCACTCCATCACACAAAAAACACGCCCCTGTAACAAAGACCAGCTATCACTGGCAGAAGTTTCCTGACCATAATTAAGAGTTGGATCAAACTAGGTTTACGCATTAAGCACTGTAGTTTTCCTGCAAAATACGTTGTGGGAACAGCCAAAACACGAGTCTTCCCATCTCAGGAGGGAGACTTGGTTTCTGTAGTACCAGCTGGGTACCTCTGACAGCTGTCAAGCAAAGGGTTTCTAAAACTTCTGGATTTGGCAGAAAAACAGAAGTCTGCCCTTGGCGCTCCGGGGAAATGCGCTTCCTGTTCCACACAGACCCTCTCTACAGCTCCCAAACGTTAGAGCTCCAGTGGTATTTTCACTCTGAACTCTTGAATGCTGAAAGTTTTGGCTGTGCCTGTCATCTCATTAACAGGCATCCTCTCGCCGGCAGGAGGCTAACACTGACAGAAATAAGGCAGACAACAAACACAACTCTGACCACTTAGTCCGTGAAACAGAATGCAAAAATTAAGAAGGAAACTTCAGCATGTATTTCCCTGCATTGTTCCCACAAAAAAAAACCCAAAAAACCAAACAAATCACCAAACCTGTAATCAGAACAGTTTTCATTATAAAGAAGTCTGCACTTTAAGATCTTTCTGGCTTGAAAAGCTCCCTGGGAAGGCAGAAGGGAGCACAAGCACCTGTAAGGTGACTCGCTCACAGGGGATTGATTTTCAGCAGGTTCTAGGTTACAGAAGTAAAACTTGGCAAGCCTGGATAAGCAAACTACCAGGACCCCCAGCGTCCGATGAGGGAGCTTTTTGTCATCTCCAGCATCATGCAGAACTAAATATTTTTCTTCCTAATAATCACCAATTAAAAACCCCGGATGGGCAAATCACTAAGCTCTTTCTTCCCAACAGCGAAACAATCCCAAAACTTCTCCGTTACATGACAAGTCTGAAAGTCTGACTCGGACATTGTCTTTGGAAAACAAACCAACTATTATTCCCATGGCATCTTTATCACAATGGTCCATACAGGATTAATTCAGTTTTTAACCAAAGAATTGCAACCCTCCTCCCCTCCTCATTCACCACCGCGCTCTCGCTCCTTTACTGGCAGGAGCCTTAGAATTTTATTTTCTTCCTAAGGGAACCCAGTTACGCAGAAAGGACACCGGCCGTTCTGAAACACTGGGACTGTGTCTTCACCTGAGGACACAAATTAAAAAATTCACCTGAGGACAACCACCTTTAAGTCCCCGTTCCTCTGCCTTCTGTTTGATATTTTGATTGTGAGAAGTAATAGCTTACAGACATTGAAACAGAGGGCTGCGGGACCACAGAACCGCCCCAGAACTTCCTTAAGACCCTTCTTTCTCGCCCTTTAATGCACCGTGTAAGTATCGAAAGAATTAGAACACATGCTATTACAGCTAAGGAACACTTGTAAAGCTCAGCCAACATCCACCACCGGTCTCGTTCTATACTCAAGACCAAGTTCCTTGGGCCAAGCGCCATCGGTTCCTCCTTGCCCAGCAGAGAGGAGCGTGCTCCCCGTCACCGGGGCTCCACGCCACCCCAGCATGCTCTAAAAGTCTGTTGTAAAATGGGAGAAAGCTGCCTGCGGCTCCCTGGAAAGACAGTCAGGGGAGGTCTGCCAGTTCCACCAGCACAGCACAGAGTCAGCCACAACCAGAATAGAAAGGAGGATTCCCAGGTCACAAGATCTGCTGAAATTGCTGTACGGCTGCTGCTCCCCTTCCACACGTTACCTACTACATTCTGCTACAGACCAGTAAATTATTTTTGTTCATCAAGCTGTACCTATTCTACTTTTTTAAACTCTTTCCTCAGAAAGAGAAAAGAAAAAAAAAAAAAAAAGACTTTTCCATGCATTAACTATATGAACCCTGACGACAGACAGGCCTAGCAACCCACTGAATAAAAATAACATTGAATAACTCAACAGCCATCTTCAGAGTGAGCTTGACAAATACATTCATCACTGAAATTCCGACACTTAAAAAACTGTTTTAATGCTCCTGAGACAAAACCCGAGTTCTTTGCTCTTCTGTGATGTTGTATTTGAATCATCTTTGGAAAAATAAACAGCGTGGCACCACGTTAGGCTCTGTAACTGAAAACACTGAGCAGAACTGTTTTGGTGGAAGGACTTGGGGGCTAACAGCACAGCACTCTACGTGTCATACATCCAGTGAAAATCCCAGGGTGTTTCCCTTTCTTCTGCATTCAAGTCAGCTAACCTTTCTGCATTACACAACAGCTCACGTAATCCTAAATTTATCACACTAGTATGCTGTCATAACAGTTAGAGGTTTCATAAAGAGTGAGATCATGCCTCATCTTTGTCCCCCTCACAAAAGAAAACTTACTTTGTCTTTCAACAACCCTGAAAAATAAGCGGTCGTTTCATTCAGGAAAATTTGGCATTAAGGCATTAGTCCTTTCCTCAGGATTCTCCCAAACACAAAACCACAACCACACCACTCCAGGATTCAAACAGTTCCTTACTCATTATATCAGAAAACAATCTAAAAAAAGGTTCATTTGGTTTCCCATAAGGAAGTTGATTCCTAAATTTTAACCAAACTTCAAAGACTGGGCTGATTAGCCCCAGTGAAAGGTACTTGCAGCACATTAGAATCATAGAATCACTTTGGATGGAAAAGACCTTTAAGATCATCGAGCCACCTTGCTGGCACCACAGAGCCAAGTCCCCATAAAATCAAAGCAGCGGAACAGTTCTGGTTCCGAAGTGGTCGGCAACTGCCTACGGACGTACCAGGCAAACCTACTGAGCAGAGGAGCTTACGCTCCCTTTCCGTACGCACTCCTCCTTTTCTGTTAAGCACGTTCTTCTGATTCTGCAGCAGAGATGATGAACCCTTTCCTTCACCTCACCCTCTTCACCGGTTGAGTCCCATCGCACCATCTCTGACCCACCAAAGCTCTCTACATCCCTCTTTCAGGCACATTTCATGCTTTCCCCTCCCTTCCTCCCTGCTTTCCCAATACTTCAGGCTGACAACTCGCACTTTCCTAAGGGGTCAACACTCTGTTTCCATCCCAATTCCTCCCGAATCCTCCTGCAGGCAGAGCAGTTGCTGCTCTGGGCCCTCAGCACATCCTCCACACAAGCACCCGACCCCAACCCTCCCCTCCCTCCCCACAAACCCCACCTGCATCTTCATCCTCAGGCAGTGCCTTCCTCTTCGTATCTCGGCAGAGCAGAGCACGCCTCGCTCTTTGCAAACACGAAAACGAATCTCCGTTCTTTTTGCTAACACCCACGCTCTCGCTAAACGATTAGAAAACACATTTTGATAAAACAAATCGCAATCCGCACCACCCACCCACCCCTCCATACAAGAAGATATTCACCACCCTCCGCGACCAACTCCCCAAACCCAACGGGAGCACCTCAAGCACCACCGGTTGCAGGGCGATTGGGGGGAGGGGAGGACCCAACCGGCCTCTCCACACCCCCCACCCCTCTTTCGTGCACCCCAAATCCTTCCCCCCCTCCCAA